GCCTCAGCAACCTTTACAAAGCAGTAAGGTAACAAAGAGCTGACACTGGAAGGCACCTCCACACAGACTCCCACACTGAAAGCCTGTCACTACAAACTTGCACGATTCTAGTTTTCCCTTCCCCACAGAGCTGAAGACAACCAGGCAGCTGAGGGGAAGGCAGGTCAGGCATTGTGCCAGGCACTAGGAACATTTCAGTTGGTACTGCCTGCCCACCCTTACTGCCTACTCCTCCACAGAGCACTCCCTTCTCCAAGGTTCTAGAGAGGTGATAATCATAGCATCCAACCCACCTTTGGCCACATGCTGGGGCGGACATATGACCTGGCCACAGGAAGAACCTTACCCCCCTAAGGCCATAATGAGGGCTCAGGATCCAAGCAGAACCAACTGGAGTCCTTCCTGGGTTTTATGGATAAGAGCTGGAGAAGGAAGTTCTATCCCGTGTTTCCCAGTTACATGAGCCAAGACAGTCCCATTTTGCTCAGGTTAGTTTATATTAGGTTACTGTTACTTGCAACCCAAAGAATTCACACTCCTGCAGGCACATGTATAATTTTCTCATTTCATCTGTATAACAATCTTTTAAGGCTGCTCTTACTCTATTTTAGAAGGGAGGAAACAGGTTAAGTAATTTGCCCAAGTCCATACAGTAAGTACAGGGCATTCAAATTCATACAGTAAAAGGCATTCAAACTCAGGTCCTTCTGCTCTAAACCCATTCAGTATCCAGTTATGAATTCCATATTCACTCAAGAAGGAACTCACTGCCATTCAAAAGCCAAAGATCTTCTGGTTTAAAAGGTACAGGATAAGGTGTGGGAAATAAACAACATTAAATTAGGGTCATAGGACCTGGCTTCTACCTCTGGCTCAGTCCTATGACTCAGCTATTAAGACTCTGAGCAAGTCTTTCCACTTACCTGGGTGTTTGTTTTCCTACCTACAAAATGAGAAGCCTGAACAACATGAACTCGAGACCCTTTTAAGTACTTAAAAAAAGTCCATGGTTCTGCTTTAAGCATACAGATTCTGTTTTTACTCTACGTCAGGCAGGATGTGAAGCAGATTTCAACTTGACCGCCAGGCCCAATAAATGGCTGCCTAGGCCACAATGCTGCAAAGGATTCTGAGCCATAAGATCTACTAGGAAACTGGCACTGGCTTCCACGGTCACAGGGAGGAAGAGAGAGGAACAGCTACATTTGTCATTGCTGATAGAGTGTCACCTTCACAGAGGAATGCTGCGGTCTGCACCACCGATGCACACCCGCACAGGATTTTCACGGATTCCTTTGTGTACTTCCTTGGTTCCTCTTTGCAAGCAAGGAAGGAAAGTACGGGAAAGCTAACTGGTTTGGGGAATATAGCTGAGAGCCACTGATGAAAATGTCTGAATGGCCTACATGGGGTCAAGGGAACAGTAACAATAAGTGTGGTTCTCTATGATACATAGTCCCAGAAGATGCTGATAATTAGCTTAGGAGTTCAGTGAAGGCTGGACAGAAGTGGAAATGAGACTCAGTAAGAGGACTTGCCCAAGTCACCCACTTCTAAGTAGCAGAGCCCAGATCTGAATCCACATCTTCTATATCCAAGTCCCTGTGCTTTGTCCACTCCCAAGGTCCCCATTTACCGCACAATCTAAATGAGTTAATTAATCCAGTTCCCACTGCAAAGTGGCATACTCGTCATTGTCTGGAGTTTTTCAGATACAGTAAGTTCCTCACCCCAAGATAGGAAACATTGTTACTGTTTGTAATTTAATGGGTACACATGCACTGAGTATACATGAATTCAGCAAAATTGAGCATAAGAGTTAAATATTTAAAGGAATGATGCTGAAGAAACCAGCCTGTGGGGAAAAATTAAAAATCAACACGGTTTTATTAATCTTAATAAAACCTCTACAACAATACAGTGAGATGGAAAACTGACATCAGGAATATGCCTTGTCCAAACTGAGGAATGAGAAGAACTAGAATTGAATCAGGTAATGTGCATCCTAGAAATGACAGTGAGTGCCTCGAGGAAGACATTCAACCAAAGGCATTACTATAACCTGCTACATTTCCTTAGGTCTGACGACCAGAGCTAACCCCAAACCAGACTATGTGCTCCTAGTACTGGCCAGACTTTTATGTATAAGGAATCCAGGCCAAACAAAATAACAGCCAGCCTCTGACACATGTGACTGTGGCAAGAGCACAGGACACCCCTCACCGGCTCTATACTACAGTTTCTGAGGGTGAGAGGGTGTGGAGGGAATGGTTGCAAGAACAGGAGGTAATACACAAAGCAACTACAACATAAAAATCAAAATTCCTCAAAAGAATGCATGTTTTCCCTATGTCAGGAGGGGCAGTAGTCCTGAACAACGCAGCCTATGTCCCTACTTCACAGACTCTCCAAGCCTTAGCACCTACCCATATCATCAAATACCAGAACTGACTTTTTTTTTTTTAAGATTTTATTTATTTATTTATTTGACAGAGAGAGATACAGCGAGAGAGGGAACACAAGCAGGGGGAGTGAGAGAGGGAGAAGCAGGCTTCCCGCCGAGCAGGGAGCCCGATGCGGGGCTCGATCCCAGGACCCTGGGATCATGACCTGAGCCGAAGGCAGACGCTTAACGACTGAGCCACCCAGGCGCCCCTGGAACTGACTTTTCAATGGCATGCAATCCAACCCTCTAAGGTGCAAAGTTCTTCTCAAACATTTCTGACTAGCAGTCATCCCTCTGATTAAGTGCCTCCAGTGACAGGAAATTCAGCACCCCAGGGTCCTGTTACTGCCCCTGAGGCTCATTAATTCAAAAGCCTAAAGCATATTCTTATCACTCAGGGAAAGGCCTAAGGCCTAAACCTCCATAAGGCTTGCCATCGCAGCTATGCTTCTTGTCTCTACCACTTGCATATCCCCTACTCCGGAATAGGATCCGAAATTAGCACAGTGCTCATATATAAGTGATTTCAGAATTAGAAAGGGACCTCCCCAAACCAAAAAACTGTGACCTTCACATACCACAATTCTACAGGAGGAACCTCAAGAGCTTGGGCAGACCTGGGGGGAGGTGAAGGGAGAATGTCCTAGTTTCCTTTCCTCTCATTTCAACCTGGGAAGCTCCTCCTTTGATCTGCTATAAATATGGGATCAATGCAGTTTAAAAGTCTTCTGCTGTTTGAAGGGGAAAAAGGGAACATTTACAGGTATATAAACTAAGGCCTTAAAACTTGCTTAATAACCTCATACAGCTAATAGTTGCAGGGTTAAGACAACAACCTGGTCTCTTGGCTCCTTCTCTAGTGCTCTCTCTACCACATAACATTCGTCCACCAGCAGAGCAAAGTTCCCACATTCCAGCCACACTCATATGCTTATCAAAACAATTCAGTAACACTGCAAAGTGGCATATTCATCATTATTTGGGAGTAGTTCGGACAATATAATGTTCCTCCAAAAAAAACCCTGAAATATTACTAATTTGTTTGCAACTTAATGGGTAGACGAGCACTGAGTACATATAAATTGAGCATAAGTTACCTATCTCCACACCTTTGTGCATACTCTTCTCTTAGCCTGAGGCCTTTCTCCACCCTCTCTGAAGATTTGTTCCAGGCATCACTGCCTCTAAAAGGCCTTTCTTGGCCCTCAGGTAGAACAGGCCACATTCACCTTTGTACCCTACACACTATCTAGGAGGCTGGATGGCACTTGTATTGTTACTGTTTCCCCCACCATTCCTTTTAAATTGTGTTATTCTAACAAGGTGCTGGACAGAAGGCAGGTGCTTAATAGGTGTTTATTGAGGACAGAGTGTCTTCACCTGGTCCAATCCCCCTTCTGATCCTCACATACCCTCTGCAAACTGCCATACGTTAATTCGTGCATAGAGATATTCACGGAAAACTATCTGAATGCCTACAAAGTACCAGGCATGGGACTGCATGCCAAAGAGAAGGAGATTTACCATGAAATTAATGAAGTTTAAGTTTCAGGGCCCCTACTTGCCCCTTCCAAAGCTCTGAACCTCTTCCTGTGATTTTGTATCTTTATTTCTTAAAGAGGAGAGACAGAACTGTATAAGCTTATTTCAATCAAGCTCCACAAATACTAGATCCATCCTTGCGGCCAAGGATACAAAAGTGAACAAGGTAAACATTCTCTCCCCACTTAGAGAGTTTCCTGTTGAGTGGAGAAAACAGACATATTTATTTATTTATTCAAAATAAATACAGAGCATTTATTCAAAATAAATACAGAGCACACACAGAGCCGGAGGCCAAAGGCCTTTATTTTTCAGCCTTCATTCAAAAACATTCACTGGCCAGTGCTATGAGTCGGGCATTGGGGTTCTGAGGTGACACCAGCACTGTTCCTGTCCTGAAAGAGTTCCCTGCTCTCCTGAACGAAAGCCTACTGTGTTCAGGGAACAGAAAGCAGTTTAGAAGACAATAACACACAGTGTTTGTGAAAGATTACCCTAAACCAGTCTCAAGACCTACTGATCCCCAGCAAGGGCCCTGAACCTATAGCAGGAAGCAAGCGGAAGGGAGAGGTCAGGTGAATATGATCTTTGATCTCATTGAGCCGGGGAAGGGGGGAGGGGGAGGGAGACAAAACAAGTAAACAGAAGAGGCAAATACACTGTGGTCGGTGCTGAGAAAAGCAAAGGCCTGTGGGGAAGTTTCCCCGACGTTCAAGTCTGCAGTGACGGCGACCTCAATACCTCGCCAAGCGGCCCAAGAATTCTGCGGACAAGAAATTCTTGAGTTCCCCCAAATGTGTTCCCATTCCCCGAAATAAAGCTGTTCCTTTCCCAAGACAGCTGGAGGCTCCCTGGTACCAACTCCCCTGTCCCCACTTCGGACCACTTTATCCTCCAAGTTATTCCTTCACACAGTGAATACGGGACAGGGGCCGGTTCGGGGTCTGGGGTCCATGTCGCGGGTCCGCCCCCCTCGCCCGCCCGCCCGCCGTTTCCATAGCAACCAGCTCACCACTTCCCGCGCCCGGCTGGAGAAGTCGCCCTTGGGCCGGGGGCTCCGGCGAAACAGCTCGTCGCGGCTGCCATCGACCCCGCCGCCCACTGCCACTCCCAGTGCTTTGTTGCGCGTCTTCACGGTCTTGACGCTGGCCCGGAACAGCAGCGTGATATCCACCGCCATAGCGACCCACACCCCCGGTCCACTTCCCGGCCGGCCCACGTCAGCAGCTTGCGACCGCGGCGTGCGCCCGGCCGCTGGAGGACCGTTCCGGTTCCGCACGCTTCCCCGCCAACGCGACGCGAGAAGAAAGGTTCCGGCCTCCGCGGGATGACAGCGGCGAGAGGAGAAAGGTTCCGGCCTCAGCCCCGTTCTCCTCCCGGCGAACCTCGGAGGGCTTGGCCTCGGGTAGAGGTCCCGCTTGGGGCGTGTGGGCCTGGGGAGCAAGAAAGTGGGGAAGCCAGCAGGCTGGCTCCCCTCTTTTGGCTCTCCCACTTCCTAGGCACGGCGAGTGGGGTGCACTGGAGGCGACCCTTGACCTCCAGGACTCACCTTTTGAAGGACAGAAGCACGTGGACGTTGACCACCTGGGTGCAAGAAGTGCTAGGGTAGAGCAGATGTGCGAGGCACAGAGCCGGAGGCCAAAGGCCTTTATTTTTCAGCCTACAGCCACCTGATCTGTAAAATTAAGGGAGCACCTTCCTCAGGGTTATTGTGACAATCGAAGACGGTAACGCGTGTAAAGTGTTTTGGCGTTGCTTGGTTCACAGTGGCCAATAAAATTTACCGTTGATAATAAGAACACTGTTACCATTCTTGTTATTATTTATGATGGAGAAGAGTACAATAGAGGAGGTATCACGCAGAGAAGGCAGATTTGAAAGATGAGGCGGAACTGATCAGACGAAGACAAGGGCAGAAGAGTGCCCCCGGTTTCTGTTCATCCTTGATGTACAGTTTTTAAATACCCTATTAAGTCGTAGTAATTTAACTTAACCGCAAGTTAGCCAATGAGTTCTTTCTACATTTTGACTCAAGGCTCAGATTTAATTCACCTTCTCGTTGCTTTGTTTGTCTTTTTAAAGAGGCTGCACAACTAGAATGCGGTAAAACAGCGGTTGGCAAAGCGTGGTCAGCAAGATAAAAATTATCTTCGTGACACCAAGATGCTCCCTGCCTTTCACTATCATTCTCTCACAAGTTGTACACAGTTGAGTTTTCCAGAAGCCGTGTGACTTGTGACATTGCAAATACGCTGGATGCAGAACAGCTGTCTTCTATTAAGCCAGACTTTAAAGAGTTCTGCAAAAAATGTAAAACCGTGCCATTCGCACTAAGTTTGTTTCTGAAATGTATTTTTTTCACAAAAGGATTTCATTTATGTTAATAAGTAATGGAATTATTTTTGTTTTTTTTTTTTAAAGATTTTATTTATTTATTTGACACAGAGAGAGACAGCGAGAGAGGGAACACAAGCAGGGGGAGTGGGAGAGGGAGAAGCCGGCTTCCGGCCAAGCAGGGAGCCGGATGCGGGGCTTGATCCCAGGACCCTGAGATCATGACCTGAGCCGAAGGCAGTCGCTCAACCAACTGAGCTGCCCAGGCGCCCCTATTTTTGTTTTTAAATGAATATTTTAGGTTTTGGTTTTAATTTCTAATGTAAATATCAATAGATAAACATAAACAAAGTTTGTTTAGGGTTCTCAATAATTTTTAAGAGTGTAAAGGAGTCCTGAGACCAAAAGTTTGTTTCCAGTAAGTTTATGAGAAATAGATATTATATGTACCTGAAAGGAGGAGGGAAAATGTTATTTAAAACCTAAACTGTAACTACTTTAGCCTTCCTGTATGAGGAAAATAAATGTCCACACAGCTTTCTTACACCCACGTAGTAAGAGAAAATGAGAAAGAAATTACTAAATCTCTGCCAGTGATTCTGTATTGCATAAATGGCCCTTTGTTTTATGGAGACACTAATGAATCTTTGGCTATGCAAAGGCAGGCCTGGGGCAGAGTTGAAGGAAAGAGAATCAAATCTCTCTGCATAATAAAGTGAACGGGATTGAATTAGGGGAAAGCTGGGGAAACCAGAATCCTAAGGGGAGGCCAGGAAAGGAAAAAGTAGTTCCTTGGGAAAGGTTTTCAAGTGGGAGGGGGCTGAGCTACACCAGACCTTCAGTGAGTACTGCCTTGTAGGAGTCCTGTGTTGGGGGCAGTTGGTTTTGGGGGTAAAAAGGTGGGGACAAAAGTCTAAGTTTTCTGTCTGCATCTGCAAGAGCAAAGAAGATTTTGGAGATGACACCAAAGTGAGCTCAAAACATCAGGCACTAAAACCAGAAGTGACTACAAGTGCATAAAATTACTAGAAAAGTCGCAGAGATCTTGAGGAGGCTATTGGGCTGCCCACAGACCACAGGCTATGATATTTCGCTGGGGTTTTCTGTTTCTGGTATTTTTGCTCTTTTAACTTCAAAGAGCAAAGTGACTTCAGGTTGACAATACCTATTTGAAACCCCATAAAGCTGAGGGGCACAAGAACAGAATGTCATGGGAATGAACTACAAACTGTCCAGTTTGATGTAGTTCATACACTATGTTTCATAAGTAATAATGTTTCATTCATTAGGCCAGGAACTTTTAAAAAAAACAAAAACAAAAACAAAAAACCCAAAAAACCCAGTAAGACATATTGGAGTCCCTGAATGTAGCTCCCTATAACAGCACCCTCCATACAATCGGGATAGATGTACACATCATAGAACCTTTTGGGGACTCATAGAAGTCATTAAATGCAGCCTCCATAAAAAAGAGCGTATATTGCACGTTCAAATGCCCAACCCATGACAGATGTGCTATGTGATGTAGGAAAGACATTATTAGGGTTCGAAGCCGACAGCCAAGAAAGAATTCTTGAGACATCTTTGGTGCAAAAAGGTGATTGCACAGGGACAGGACCCGTGGGCAGAGAGAGTTGCAATGGGGTCATGAGGAGTGGCCCATTATATACTTTCACGTTGGGAGGGGGTTAGGGATATCCATAAGTCTCTCAGGAATTTTGAAAACAAGGTTTCCAGGACCTTGAGGGGGCTAGCTATTGTTGGGAAAAGGTCACTTATTACCATCTAATAAAACCTTAGTCATGAGACCGTTCAGATGTATATTGGAGGGCCATATGCTTGGGGGATGATTACCAACATGTATCTGGGCGGGGGTTAGAGCATAAAGGAAGTTTCCAAAGGAATTTTATAAGTTGAAGTAGACTTACAGGATCCTGGGGGGCAGGAGGAGGGTGCGGTCAAGCTAGGATTGCCTTTTGCCCTTAGCAAAGTATTAACATTGAGGCAGTTGAGTCCCTAGAGAAATGTCCCTCTGCCTGTTTCAAAGACTTGTCAATGGGCTGTAGGTAGTAAGGAAATTTAATAATTTTTCTTCTGCCTTTGTTTCCCACATCAAGAGATACTGGAGTCCCTGAATGTAGCTTCCTATAACAGCACCATCCATACACATCATAGAATCTTTTGGGGACTCAGAAGTCATTAAATGCAGCCTCCATCAAAAAGAGGGTATATTGCACATCCAAATGCCCAACCCATGACAGATATGCTATGTATGAGAAATAGAATTCTGTTGTTAGCCACTGAGATCTTTGTCATTGTTACATCCTCTAGAGAGGTTGGTTTTATAGCCCCACTAAGTGAGGGAAGATGGTAAGCAGGCATTTGCTGTATGGAGTGTGAATTCTTGCAGGGTAGTATGGGGAGACCAGAGTTTTGGGGTCCACAGGATCATGGACTTGCCACAATATATAGTGCCTGGAGAGCCTCTGTAGAAGTGTGTTTTATTGTTCATCTCATATTCATGGCCCCTCCCTAGGAGAGGATTATATTTCCTGGACATATTGATGACTATCTTGGCCAGGTGATTCCTCTTCCCCATGAAAAGTGACATGTGTTACAAATTTAGGAGATAACGTGTATTTCACCGTGCTCTCTTTTCCCTCTGCCACGGCAAGCCATTGTGTTCCAATGTTTCATGAGCCTAGGTCCCTGAGTAAAGATGACATGGAGCACAGCCAACCAAGGATGTGTGCTGGCAATGAGAAGTCAAACTTTGTTCTTACTGTCTATGGAGATTTGTGGTTTGTTGTTACTGCAGCATAAATAGCCTATCCTGATTGATACACGCATTCTTCACTTACCTTCCTGGACAATGTTATCTTCCAGTGGGTAAAATATGGAGAGGAAGGACTACTAGATCACACCTAGATCTAATCAATAGTGTTAGACTAACAGAAACCCTGGAGGATTGGCCAGGCCATGGTAGAATTCACACTGAAAGAGGAGAGGACTGAAGAACATATATTTTCAAATTAGGAAGTGGACTTAAAAAAGAAATTCACTGGGCGACTGAGTGGCTCAGATGGTTGAGCATCTGCCTTCGGCTCAGGTCATGATCCCGGGGTCCTGGGATCGAGTCCCACATCGGGCTCCCTGCTCCTTGGGAGCCTGCTTCTCCCTCTGCCTCTCTCTCTCTCTCTCTGTCTCTCATGAATAAATAAATAAAATCTTTTAAAAAAGATATAAAAAAAGAAATTCACTGAAAAAATATTTTTTTCTCATGGGCTTTAGAAAGGACCATGACTCTAGGGATGGGAATCTCAAAGAATAAACTTTTGTTCTTTTTTTTTTTTAAAGATTTTATTTATTTATTTGACAGAGAGAGATAGCGAGAGCAGGAACACAAGCAGGGGGAGTGGGAGGAGGGAGAAGCAGGCTCTCCGTGGAGCAGGGAGCCCGATGTGGGACTTGATCCCAGGACCCTGGGATCATGACCTGAGCCGAAGGCAGACGCTTAACGACTGAGCCACCCAGGCGCCCTAAACTTTTGTTCTTAAGAATGAATGTAGCTAATAGTAGTAAGGAAATTTAATAATTTTATTATTCTCCTTCTCCAGGGTGCTGGAGAAAATGGAACCTTTGCATGGTGCTGATGGGAATATAAATTGGTGACACCACTTTGGACATCAAAAAATTAAAAATAGAACTACCATAGGGGTGCCTGGGCAGCTCAGTCAGTCGAGCGTCCAACTCTTGGTTTCAGTTCAGGTCATGATCTCAGGGTCCTGGGATTGAGCCCCGGGTTAGACTCAGCTTGGAGTCTGCTAGAGATTATTTCCCGCACCCTCTCCCTCTGCTCCTCCCCCTGCTCGAGGCTCTCTCTCTCTCTTTCTAAAATAAATAAATAAAATCATTTTTAAAAG